ACACCACTCAGGTATTAATAGTGCACAGATTTAAATTTCATTTCTAAGAAAGTACCTATGTAACTTCGCTGTTGTGTTGGGCTGAACTTGTGAAAACTAATGTATGATACTCTACTGCATTCATATTGTTTTCTTCTCTTATTTAGTAAACCTAGGAATACATTAGACACACTCATACTCGTAGGCACTGCTTCATAATATTATATCAAATGAAACAACGGATAAAATCTTTGTTAATTATATCTATTTAACTGATTAGATATAAATGGATCTGCTGCATGGTGATCAAAATCGAAGCCAAATCATATGGATTAGGGAGGGAGGAAGAGAGGGGAACCGACCAGCATAGAGATGGGGCTCGCGCTGCCCGAAACGACGTGGAGATGACGCAAGGCATCCAGATCCGTCGCTGTCGCCTACCTAACCTCACGCTGGTGCCAGAGGGGCGCTGCCACTTGGGGGATGCGCCGTCGAGGGGCAAGGGAGACGGATCTGCCCGTCGTTGTCGACCTCGCCTCAACGCGCCACTGCTTGTGGCCAGGAGGGAGGGCGCTGCTTGGTGACCGGGGGTGCCGTCGCGGGCCGAGGAAGACAGATCTGCCGCCGCCGTCGCTAGCCGAGGAAGGCTGATCCACCGCCACCGTTGCCGTCGCGGGCCGAGGAAGGCTGATGCGCCGCCGCCGTCGACCTAGCCTCGTGCGCCATCGCTTGGCGGCTGGGGAGGGAACGCCGTCGCTTGGGGGCCAGGGTGCGCTGCCGCTTCGGGGCCAAGGTGCGCTGTCGCTTTTGTGAGAGAGAGATGCCCGGGGAGGTTGTGGCGGCTGAGAGAAGGGCTAGGGTTAGGGCGGGCGCTTTTATGCGCCCGCTTTTGGGCCAGCCGAAAGGCCAGCGCAGCCTAGGCCCAAGTTGGCTGCGTGGCTCGGGTTTCACCACCCGTCGAAATTAATTTCTCTGTCGGTGATTCAGCCGCTCCTACAAATGGACACAATAGGAGCGGTTGGTAATAGCCGCCTCTACATACCAAATTACCCCTACCCATCGACGCATTTGTAGGGGCGGCTCGTATTACCAGCCGTCCCTACTGTGCCATTGTAGGGACGACTGCTGTGTTGGAGCCCGAGCACGCCACTGTAGGGGCTGCTCCAATGCCAGCCGCCCCTAAAAAAAGCCCCGTTGCTACAAACTGTTTTTCACGTAGTGTAGATCAAATGGTTCAAATAAAACTTATAAAAGTAAAGGAAAAATATTAAATAAAAAAACAAAAAAAAGCCAGATTGTTTATATGGAAGCCAAATTGGAAGATTTCAAAGGGGATACAGAAAAAAAAGAAAAACAAAAAGGATCAGATAATTGTTGGAGTAATTGTGGCCATTTTTATTTACGAACAATCAATTTACACTAATTGAACGTAAAATTTACACTTAAACAAGAATAGTAAAATATGGTCTAATAAAATGTAATCTACGGATACTCAATAACTTTCTCGACCAGTGGCTCCGATCCCCGCATAGTGCATGCATGGGACCATGGTGGATCTGGAGCCATGCATGCATAAAAGATGGATCGGGCGCCGTGCATGCATGGGTCCAATGGTGGGGTTTAGCGGCTGCTGACCCAGTGCAGGGCCGGCACCGTGGGCGGCCTGTGGGCTCGGGCGGTTTTAAGGCGCGGAAGCAGCGGTTTCCAACTGAACAACATTGCGCGGACGCGGTCTCCAACATCCGGATATGACGTCAAGAAATCGAGTGCGCGCACGGATAGGAACACCCAAGCACCAGATAGATTTTCTATAAGAATATAGGATTATGTAGTCTGTTCAAGTAGGGGTATTTTAGCCATTACCGATCTACATACGATAATTGCACAATTCATCCAGGTATTTTTAGCCATTATGGATTTGTTGCACAATTCATTCCATAAAAAACAGAGAAATGATTGATTGTTACGTTCTACACTTAACTTGCTATTGTAATTAAGTAGTCAGGGGTATATGATGTGTCATTTGCCGCATACATGTTTGTTAGTATATATAAAAATAAAACCAAATTGCAGGTGAAAGCCGCTTTTATTTGTTCGTCTAATCGAGTTGGGTGCACTTTGTACCGTTCACGTGCTCGTGCAAATCGATAGTCCTAAGGTGCAAAATTTTTTGGCACCATATCACTCATGTCATGGTCCGCCCGTCTGAGCACGTATGTGTGGCGATGACGATAAGCCTTTCACTTAGTGTTATACTCACAACATATATGCATACTATAGTAATTTTTTTTGAGAATTAGTCATTAATTTAACTTGAGTCAGTCTCCTATCAAATTACCACACGAAATTAATTTTTATTATACTAGAATTTGTTATAGCCCTTGGAATCTATCTAATTTAAGGTTGACAACACAACTAAATTTAACAAAAATAGATAGCTCATTATCATTGGCATAACCATATAACAAATTGAATGTTCCACTGCAACGCACGGACATGTTTGCTAACATATTAAAGTCTGAGGCCCAGTAGATGTTCCTCCTCTAACACAGCGTCGGTTACAAGTTTCACTTCTTACTTTTATAGATAGCAAACATAGACCCACGACAAAAGTTCCTTCAACAAAACAAAGGATGCGTTCGCTGGTCTGGTTTTTTCAGACCAGCCGGCTGCTCCTCCTCACAAAACACTGTTCATCAACCAGCCGCTACAGTGTTTCTCTCTCACAACAACCAGTCAGTTTCAACCAAGTTTCAGACCAGCGAACGGGGCCAAAGATTACAATTTGGATCTAGAAACTTCACTAGCACCGCACTAATCATTTCGTGACCTGACGGGGCCAGGGGCGAAGCTAGAGCACGGACGACTCGAGTGCACAAATAACACTTAAATGACTTTCAATATACACTGTAATAATAATTTAACATATACAATGACAAAGTAGTAACAGTAGAATACTTGCCAAAATGAAGAATCTCGACGCAGAGATTGTTAAATGTTACTAACTCCGTTCCATTTTATCTCGCGCACACATATATCAAGATTCAAACTTTAAAAACTTTGACCAATAATTAGTCTAATAATTTTTAATTGTTATAATACAAACTTTATATGATTAGATTTGTAAAGAATTATACTATCTAATACTTACAAGTTTATAAACATAAATAATATAATATAAAGCAAATGAATGGTCAAAATGTAATTTAGGAGACTCTGTCATTCTAACTTGTGATGCCAGATAAAATGGAACGGAGGGAGTAATAAATAAATGGCAACAGGATATTTAAGGTCAGCATGTTGTAGTACATCATTAAATTTGCCTAAGACAATGACCTATCAATAAATATAATAAAGGTCTTAATTAGATGATTCAATATTCTTCAAAGGTTGTATATTTATATTGATGAACAAAAAAATGATGAAAAAACTGAAAGCAATTCCTTGCCTCCTACTCCTAGTATTTGCGTTCTGCCATTTTCTTCAAGAGATCCACTACAACCTTATTTGTAACTTTCATCATTTTCTCTTTCTCCACATAACAAGTGTGACTATTACTCATGTACTGATCATCCATATGGTTGCGCAAATTTGTTTTCACAACTTTCATGGCTGAGAAGATCCTCTCGACTGTAGCAGTAGCAACGGGCAATACAAGTACTAGCTTCAAAAGTCGATAATCCAAATGATAGGTAACATGTTTTCTTATCTTTATCATTTTTGAGAAAGCTCAACAATTGTTTGAATGTTGACAAATCCATCATCTTCTCACATGCCAACAATATAAAAACAAAGCGAGTGTTAAGTTCTCTCGATTCCATTGAATCAAAATCACTTGGATATAATTTAGCTAGGCTTATCAAATTATCCACATTAAACTCTTGAAATGAATCCCTTGGATTAAATTTTACCAAACATAAGAGCAATTAAGTTGTCTTATCGTAGCGACTATCAAGCCAACTCGGAAATGATGCTTGTAGGTAATTCCAGTTTTTCCCTTGGCATAGTTGGATCAATGTAAGCCTCATCCTGTCATTCATTTCCAACTTGCAAATATCATGTTCACCACGAAACGCATACTCCATTTCAGCAGGCACATTCTCTAGCACTTTCTTGCCTTTGCATCCCTGTCTTCTTTTTCCACAAATTCTAGCATTTTGATAGTTGTTTCTGTGAGGGAAACTTTGATAGCTGTTTGGAACAAGTTAGCTAAACTTCGAAGATATTTATAGTGAGAACTCCATCCAACGAGTATCAAAGTAAGTCTACCGGACCCGATGGGTTTCGAACCGGCAAATTGTTGAATTAGCGTAAGTCTGATTCATGATGTATTTAGAACAAATAATATGATAATTGTATAAATATCTGAATTGCAAGTCGTCCAGATAATCATGCAATAAGTTGCATGTTCCAAGCAAAGAAACGGACGTGTCTGCTAATTATTACTCCCACAATGTTGAGCACAGTACAAGAAGGGGTACTATAGCTGTAGGACATTCCGTAGCCCACAGTACACCCGTAGACATATTGACCAATATAATGCACAAAAGAGTAGCTCCCACAACGGCGACGGCCATGAATATTCTTTTGGGTGTTCTATTCGATCCCCAATATTGGATCGGAGAAAAATTCTAAGAAACCTGCTTAGCCTCCGGGTCCAGCCAGGATGTGCCGTTACCGTTAGTACTAACTATACACATGTTGACCTGCACAAGATTTGCTCGCGCAGAACGGCGGGGGCCAGCGCAAAACTCGGTCGCGCACTTCCGCGTAAGGTCGATGGGATCGCGCGGCCTTGGCGCGCAACTCGTAGTTGATGCTGACACTGTACGGCCCGTCCATTCAGGGACCCACGATTAAAGCCTCTCGCCATGCACGGGCTATGTTTAGCAATGGCCCGCGGTGCAGGTGTATAAAGTAGAAGCAGCGCCCGCTTCTCATCATCTTCACTTTAATGCCTCCTCTCAGCTCAGCCGCATGCATCATGGCGATGTCCACAAGCAAGTCGTGATCGATCGATCATGGCGATGGTTATGGAGAACCAGCAGCCGCTGGCGCCGATGCCGGCGGTCCCGGCGCCGCCCCTGCCTCCTCCGCCCCCTCCGCCGCTGCCGCCACCTCCGCAAGCGTACAAGCACCGCTGCAAGGTGTGCAAGAAGGGGTTCATGTGCGGGCGAGCGCTGGGCGGCCACATGCGAGCGCACGGCGTTACCGACGACGGCCTCAGCGCCGCCGACGCGCTCGACGACGACGACGACGACTCCGTCCCCTGCGGCGGCGGTGCATGGGACTCTTCGGAGGCGGCGGGTGGCACGGCGGCGGCGACGACGAAGCGCATGTACTCGCTCCGCACCAACGCGGGCCGGCATAAGAATTGCAGGGTGTGCGAGAACTGTGGCAAGGAGTTCACGTCGTGGAAATCGTTGCTGGATCACGGCAGGTGCAACTACGATCGGGACAAGGACGACCTCAACATCGCCGGCGCTGACATCGACGGCGAAGATGAGGAGGACCTAGCATTGGCGGCCGGCGGTTGGTCGAAAGGGAAACGTACACGCCGGACCAAGGTGATCGTTGTGGACAACGGTTCACAAATTGATGAGCCGCTGCTGGTGCCGACCACTTCAAGGGAGGAGGAGGACCTCGCCAACTGTCTCGTCATGCTGGCATCATCGCGTGGCGGCGTGCAGCCGCAAGCCATTGCCGACGTCCACCAGCAACCGCACGCATCGACGAGCAAGGACAAGCGCGCATCGGCGAGCAAGGATGAGCAGAGATTCCTTGTGCCGCCACAACCAATCTCTATGCTACCACCGACCGTACCACAGTTCAAGTTTCTGGCGCCACCACAAGTGGTGCCGTCGCCGGTCGTGTCTCGTGGCTTATTTGAGTGTAAGGCGTGCAAGAAGGTGTTCACGTCTCACCAGGCTCTCGGCGGCCACCGAGCCAGCCACAAAAAGGTCAAAGGGTGCTTTGCGGCCAAGCAAGAGGAGAGCAGCCGCAACGACTCCCCGCAACCCAGCGCAGCGTCTTCCAATGGCAACGTCAAGGTCGTGGTTGAAGCCATCCCCGCCATCGTCGACGCCACAGAATCGAATGGTGTCGATGGCAAATCGGAAGTCAACATGCTAAATGCTAGGACCACCGCGGTTGTCGCGGCCACCTCTGCACCAGAAATGGCTAATATCATGCAGGTCGACGAGGCGCCCTCATCCTCCACCGTTTCACCCTTCAACAAGGGGAAGCTGCACGAGTGCTCCATCTGCCACCGCGTCTTCATGTCGGGGCAAGCGCTCGGCGGCCACAAGCGGTGCCACTGGCTCACGACGGGGGCCGGGGACCCGACGGCGGTCGCCAAGCTGCCATTCATTACTCAAGATCACGTCATGCACGCCGCCATGTGCCAGCAGCTCACCCTCGGTCCCCCGGTGTATGGAACGTCCGATTCGTGTCTTGACCTCAACGTGCCCATGAATCAATCTGCAGATCCAGCCGCCACGAGACAAGCAGCCGGGATCAACGAAAGCATGCTGAGCCTCAATGCACCGGCGTCGCTGTACATGCACTCATGGGCGGGACATACCAACGCGAGCAACATGCACAACACGGCGGCGACAAGTGGTCACTACGACTTGCCGGAAGCCACAGCCGCCACCGAGGATGAAGCGGATAGTACGAGTGCCAAGCGAGCCAAGATCAGTGACCTCAAGGACATGAACATGGCTGGGGAGACCTCGCCGTGGCTGCAAGTTGGCATTGCCCTACCGTCCGAGACCAGCGAGAGACTGCTCAAGCCTAAAGGCTAGAATATATTATACATTTATATTGGAAGCACTTACTTATATATATACTATATATAGTTTCATATATGAATATTTAATCGGCAAGTATATGTATATATAATGTAGTTATTAGGGAATCGATCTACCTGAATGGTATTCCAACCTTCAGGGAACGCATTGCTAGGGGGACAGTAAATAGGCGAATGCTTGTTACCTGCAGAAGGCTTCTTCCTTACTGTACGATTCATTGAGGAGCCTTGGATAGTTTCCCATCCCCCCCTCCACCCACCATATTGCTGTATGTTATATTTGTGTTGTTTTCATTTTTGCTTATCTTCGGCAGTTCCAAAATAAAAGCATATGTGTAAAATGATTTTCCTGCTGTTTTCAGTTTGGGTTATCTATATGATTATCTCCTTAGTCTCTGTACGTACTACTAGCAAATGTGTCTGTGCATTGCAACATTACTTAATATGTCTTGACAATCGTTGTACGCGAGTCGTTCTAACTCGCATGTGCATGGGTGTGAGTTTAGGTCGCATACGGTACAGGACATGGAGGGCGCATAGGTATTTTGGAAAGTAAAAAAAATATAACATGGTTGGAAAAATCCCTTCGCTCTTATGCCCATGAGTTGCAACGAAAAAAACAATCAAACATTCAAAGAAAACGACGGGTATGCTACATATCTTTTATGTTTTATCCTTTCTATAAAATTTAAAAGTTCTAACTTATTTTATGATGATCATGGCATCTATAATATAAGATAATGCTAGTAATAACATGAAAGGGTCCTATTAAGCCTCTGAATTAAGATTTGATATTTTTCCCATTGCAAAGTACAGAAATATTTACTCGTAAATATATTATAACATTAATTTCATATAATATAAATGTTTGATTAGTTGAACCATTTGTTGATCCATGTTTTAATTTATATCTATAGCTATACTTATTAAATTTCTCTATTATTTTTTTCGACCTGCCAATTAATTCTATCTGGCCCAACGGTACGGTCCACTCATGTGGCAGAACCGCTCGAAATAACACGCTTTCGGAGGCGTTCGTCTTCCACTAGACACTAAGCACCCTGAAAGTTAACTACATCGAATAGTTCCGTCGAGCCCACCCCAAGGGAGAACTCAAATAATCCACGTTTTACATCCAGAATCCAATAATGAGTACGAGGTTACAATACTTAATCCATTTCATACGACAAGAGTTCTTAGAAATTATTTATTATAATATCAGAGTTCAAACTGCAATCATTAAATAATGGAATGCAAATAAACATCTAGTAGAAACGATACAAGGATCCGTCTGTGCCCACCAGAAGAATTCTTCACACAAGAGCTACTCCTCAAGCTGCACTTGCAACAGGGGTAAAATAAACCCTGAGTACACAATATACTCACAAGACTTATCCGACTAGTGAGAATAGTTTTTCGACTCCAAGGAGTATGATAGACAATATGGGTTTGTTGTTTTCTTTTTGTTTGCGAAAAGCATTACTAGGAGTATGTCCTTAAGATCAAATTTTATCATAAATCATAATTACTTCATTAGCTAACCATTCTAAGTAAGCACTTGTTCTACTTTCAAGCAAGGGTTGAGCAATTAGAACCATTTTACAATATTTCATCTTTCAGTTCTTACTACGGTGCTAGACCATAGCCAAGTCGTACCGTCTCACGAAAACGGCGATTCGAGAACCAATGTATCCCAACTGGGTACCCCAAAACACACGCCCTGTTTGTACCCTAGACACAAACAAGACCAACCCATTCCACTCCTATCACGAGGGCCAGGTCCCCGTCTAAACTTGGACTCCAAGCCCCCACACTTGAGACCCGGTCTCAGTATGGTGCTTAGAACTCCACCTTTCTCCGCCTCCAATCAGTCGGTTCGGAAAGAGCCGAAACCCATGACAAGAGCGTAATGAGCTTTTTCGCTCCCATAAGCAAGTATGTGCTCAGGATAATAAGTATGTAAGCTAACTACCATCCACAACAACGGACGGTCCTTAATCGACACGAACAGGGAAAATAGTATAACCAAGCTAAGCCCCGTTGGCCATGGGACACAACCTGTTACACCCACCAATATCCATACCATATCCCTGCTCGGTCTCCATTTTTTCTTTCATCATTTTATCATGAGAGTAAATATAATAATCTTTTATTGTGAGTAACGACAGGTTACACATGCTACCGAAAACCTAAGCAGAGCAGCTACCCGAACCTGCACTAGTAAGACTCTTAGAACAGATATATTTATGCATGTGGTTTTCATAAAATTCCTGTAACGTAATGCACATAACATATATAAACAGTGATTATAAAAAATAAAGGGTTATGCACCAGGGCTTGTCTTAGGCAGGCACGGTGTTAGCTGAGTCAGTCAGTGGCAGTTCTGAGACCTCCTCCTGCACGAGAATCTCCTCCTCGTACTCCTCGACGATCTTATCGAACTCGCGATCGTCGGTAGTCACTATCTCCATCAACTCGTTCTCTACATGCATGCGATGATGATGCAACACTTAGTATTTATACAACAGCGACTCTTAAAATAAGAATACACATACTAAGCCACTAAGCTAGCTCTAATGACTAAGATACTAAGGTAACTATCATTTTCATCAAGCAAGGTGTTGGATTCAACTAACAAGTACCTAGCTTTACAAATTAATGATATATCTTTATTTCTACTAATGATTTAATGTATATTGAAACAAAGAGCATTTACCTATCCTAATGTTTAGTCTATTCTAAAGCTACAAAAAGAACAGTGAGCACATAATAATACCATGAAGCTACTATAAAATTTTTAGGAGTAAAGCTATCACCAATTTACTATAAAAATTCCTACAATAATTAACTTAATAATATCAAGCACTCTCAAATGATTTAATAGCTCCTCATATCAACATGTATATATATGAACTAAATACACTAACAGATAGAGCACAATTTTCGAAACCTAACAAAATTTATTTCACAATTTTTGGACACCTACAAGATTTTATATGATTTACCAACGATCAGTTCCAAAATTAAGTTAGAAAACTATTTCTAATTCCTTAGGAAAAGAAAAACAAAACCTTCCGCGCGGCCCACACGCGTAGCCCGCGCAACACAGTGCGCGTGCGCAGCGGCCCACAAGCGCAGCCCACGCGAGGCCGGCCCGAGCGCGAAACAGCTCGCGATGAGGGAAATCCCGACCGCGCAGGCATTTTTGCAAAATAGACCTCGCACTTCTCCGAATTACAACTAAGTCCTAACGCTATTTCTCCCTCTCTCAATCCTTCTCACTTAACCCCCTGGCTTTCCTGAAATTCCCCCGCGCGCACCCCCGGCAACTCAGTGCACGGCGAGCGGCGGCACTGAGCGCCTACACCGGCCACCTGGGACCTACGCGGGTCCACCTAACGGGTCGATCACCATCTCCGATCTTGGTGGCTACGCTAAGCGGCGACGAGGGGTGGAGGGACGAGCTGGCGCGAGCTGCAGCGACGCGCGACCGTCCACGACGGCAGCGCAGCTGCCCCGGCGATCTATAGCACCTACGAACCTAACTGGCTAGCGAGGGAGCATCAATAGACTATCGTGGACCTAGCCAAGGTGACGGTTGGGGCGGAGGATGGCTGAAGAAGGCTGGCCACGTGCGGCCGAGCCGTGCGGCTGCGCACCGCAGCGGCACGGTTGCGTCAGCGATGATGGGGAGGCGGTAGCGGTTTCGCTGACGTGCGCAAGGTGGAGACGGAGGCAAGACGAAGCTAGTGGTGCAGGTGAATTGGTTCGGGAGGGACGGTAGGAGGGCTGCCCACATCCATGGCCGGACGCGGCCTTATCGGCACGGCGGCGGGAAACACCAAAATTGGAGCTTGGCCGTGCGTGCTTCAAGGCAGGGTGGGGTCGGGCAGCGGGAGGACATGATGATGAAGCCGCGATGAATTGAATGGAGGTGATCGTTCGCTGGGTAATTTGATGGCGCGCGGCTCGGCGTCGTCAGAGGGAGAAAGAGAGAAAGAGAGAGAGCGGGCGCGGCAGTGAGCTCGCCTCGTCCTCGCCTTTGGCGGGATGCGGATCGGCGTGATCATGTAGGGCCCCACACGCAGCGCTAGAAGACAAAGCGCACATTTGCGATCGGCGGGGCCTGCGCGCCGCAGTGCCATTAATGACAAGGCGACGGCGAGCCCGACCACGTGCACGCGCTAGAGACGGCATCGCACTGGGCCGGCAGCGGCGCAGAGATGCAGAGTGAGGCACGAATATGACGGCGAGGCAACGACAATGGCTACGGCGCTGCGACGGGAAGCGTCGTCAGCGTCTTTGCAACACGGCGGGGCGGCGGTAGTACCGCCGCCAGCATAGCAAGCAGCAGCAGCGCTCCCACGCGCCAGAGCCGCCGGGCGGCCGTGAAGCCAAAGTAGCCGTGGTCGACCCGCGCGTGCGGCAGCGGCGCGCATGGGACAGCCAACATGACAATGTCGAACGCCTGAGCATGGTGGTGATGAGGACATCCTTCCATTGATACAACCACACACCTTTGCACACAACAAGGTCCGATGACAAGAGCTCGAGCACGACAACTTAATTATCGTAAAGTCGTTCCTCATTGTTCATACAAACTCGTCTCGAGAATTGGATGCTACTAAATCATGGTGATGATTGTCTTATTCTTAGGAATGTTGGTCAAGACTCCATTGCCTCATGTTTAGACCCCATGATGAGGATGGAGCAGCCGAACAAGTGGGAATCATCATTAATGGGGCGCCAGTGACTCACCTCGAGACAAATAGGGGACACTCCATCAAAAGTACCATAAGTCCTTGATACGAGATCCAATGAAGCTGGTTTTTGACTTGTTGGAAAGAGCGCGTCATCCTCTTTCACATGGGTCCAACCCCACTATCGAATCTACCAAGCTGTGTGCAGCAAGCCAAAGGACGTAGAGACCTCATGGCTTGGGCTGGGTCTTGTACTAACTACAACCCTTTGAGGGACGCCCAGATTAGGGTTTTC